CTCACCAACTTCACTCTGCAAAGTCCAACACGCAACCACCTATAATGCGATCGCAGTACTCGCTGCGGTAGCACAACCATGTGCACACAGCGCGCTACGCTATGCCTAGCCAGCACACGTTACCAAGTCACTAGCCAATCAGGTACGTGCACTGCAACTCATTAATAAAATTAGACTAGCTCTAGTCCTATACACTTTCCGTCACAACATGCAGGTGTAAAAATTGTAAAAGCTTTCAGATAGGCATACAGATGCATTGTATTGTGGTTTATGTTTATGTATTATGGTTTATGTTAATTAAAGCTGAAAAACATACCAAGTTAAAAAAAGTAGAAAGATTGCTGTTCAAGTGGTAACGGAATTACAAAAAAGGTAACGGAATTACACATGTGAAATGTGCGTGTACCTTGAGAAGTGCCAATGACGGAGTATGTAATGTTTGTACATGTATGTACCAGTATTAATACCTTAAAACTGCTGCTACAATAAAGTTGAAGCTGTAGGTAAAAGATAAATGGGTACATGTACCTGTGGCCTCTATGTTATAGATTTCATAGAATTTGTTTTAAAAATTATGATAGAAAAAATGCTTCATTTACTGACGTAATTCCATTACTGAAACATTCTGGGCCTTGGACCTTTCTACATGTACATCTAGGATGTTTCAATATTTTATTCCTGGTTTGATGGTAGGGCTATAACCGGACCTTATTAAAGTGTTTGCAATCAGGAAGGTCATAAGACTGATTCATAACAGGGAAAATACACATGTCACAGTCAGTTTTGTTCTGAAATGTACATGTAATTCCGTTACCACAGAATTGCCTTATTACTGTACATGTACATATGCCTTATGTACGTACATGTAGATGGATTTCTTGTGAGCGTCTTTTTCCCAGGTTTGCAGGCCCCTTGCCTGACCAGAAACTGGGAGGGGGGGCATCAAGCCAAAAGTGGAACCTTTGGCACGTGATGTACATGTTTGTCGTGAACCGAAGGATGCATGTAAGACTAGTGCAGTATACATTTTACATGTACTTCAGTTTTCAATATTTAAGGCGTGTGGTAAATTGGCCTGGTGTGAATTTGCTCTTCACCTAGTGCCCTGAATCAGAAACTGGATGAAGAGCTAATGGCACGACCATTATTATAAAAAATCTCAGAAAATTCCACAACAAATTTTAGAAGTAAAATAAAAATGTATCAATTCTAGTAATTCATTATTAACTCCACTCACTTACCAAACTAAAACTTGTAAAACATATTTTGGGGCGCATTTAAAAGAGTTCATTTTGCAAATCGGGCCCAAACTTTGTAGCAGGTATATGAAATCAACATTTATGAATGAGAATTGTTGGAGTTTGATTGAATTTCTCCTTTTGTGAAATTGCAAGTAAAGTACATGTGTTACTCCTTACACAAACAATAAAAGCAAAAATTTGAAGTGCCCGACAGTTGAGTTCGCGCCACTTTCGGGTACACAATCTGCAAGTGTAACCATGAAGCAGCACGCAAACGAGTGTTATCATTAAAGCTATACTTTCTCAAGTCCTTTAAATTATCAGTTTTGGCAGGTTTGATTAGTGTCCTTGCTGGGTGGGCCATGCAGCAGTTGTATTAACAGCAAATGACCAGTGAAAAATAAACAAATTGGATTACACAGCCATAAAAGACAAAAACAAACCTGACACACCACACGATTTTTGAGCTGTGAGCGGTGCTTATGGTACATTTATAAATCTGTCTGGATTGGTTTGCTTATTTCCAACATGACAACAAGCTGAAAACAAAGTCCTAAATCTAAAATGATGAGCCTTTTCTCAAGAATTGAAGAAGCCCAACAGAAATCAGTCAACTTGAAGAAACATCGCTGAGGATCTGGGGTGATACTCCAGAAGTTGTAATTTGGGTTTTGGTGGCATCCTGGAGCTTCCTGGTGAGTCCCCTTCATATCCATATGAGAAGATCAAGGAAATTCTGGCTGAAGGGTGTGGCTTGGAACCATACAGAGACAGAGAATCTGCACCGCTCTGGAAGATCCAAGTCTCCTTCTGACAAGCCAAGACACATGCTACTGCTAGGCAAAGTCATACATGTATATACATGTACAGACCCGAGCGTCGGGCCATATTGCAAAGAGCCACGTCTAACCTTGCGAGTTGTGGTATATATATCATGTGAGATCTTTCCGCTGCTGACATCGAGAAGAAATGAAGCCTGAAGGATGTCATGAGGCAAGCATACATGTACCAAGCGAGAAGTAGAATTCATCAGTGG